CTGCATTTACACCTGACAGTCAAGGTCCTGTGTGGGGGCTGGGCACATCAGCGGATCCAGCCTCACCTCCCTAGCTGCTTCCTCTGGGTTATAGGTTGGGTCTCAAGGGCAGCTGCACTAAAACGTGCCCGCTCCTCAGTTTCGGAGGGCCACTGGTCCTTTGCACATGCAGCTTCTCCAATTTCATGCCAGTTGGACGTAAACTTGCTGTGAGCAAGGCAGTGGTGGCGATGGGCTGTCAGGGTGGCTGACATCACCTGGACACACTACGGCCACTTCTCTGGTGTCCAGAGATCAGACACCGAGGGGGAAGCCACGATGGTTGCTCTGACACTAAAATCAAGCCCTGTCCTGCTCTCCCAAAGTAAACCCTTCCTTGGCACAAGTTTTCTGTCCCCAGGGGCTCCTCTGTTAGGGACACTAAGTTGTAGGCCCAGGTAACTGAGTTCCCAGACTTCCCCACACAGCATCATAAGGGCAGAGGTAGCATGGACCTGGAGGTCCTTGCCCCATTGCGCGAATGCAGACACTAAGTCCCAGGGAAGAGAGCCTGGCCTGGGCTGCATGGGGCTTTAGAAACAATGTGAACAGCCTCCAGAGCAGAGCTGGGTCTGCAGAGACAAGGACCGGGAGAGGGGCAGTTTGATCTCAGGAGTGGGTTTTATGGGATAAGGAGGTTCGGACCCCTGGGCTGGGGGTCAGTCCGCCCCTGTGCTTGATCCCAACAGGCATCTCTCTGATCATGTGGAATGCGCTCTACACGGCCGAGAAGGTCATCATCCGGTGGACTCTGCTCACCGAGGCCTGCTACTTTGGGGTGCAGTCCTTGGGTGAGTAGTGTAGGGTGGGAAGGCTGGCAGGGTGCCGGAAGAAGGGGACAGAACACTGGGGACTGTGACACACACCCACGTCCTGAATCCACAGCCCACCTGCTCCCTCCCTTAGGTGCATCCTTCAAGCCCACCGCCCACTGATACTCAGGGTTGTGCATTGCTAGACACCTGCCACTCGGGGGCAGCAGACTAGGGGTATCTGTCAGCTGGGCTGGGCTTGGTATTGAGCTCCTGGAGGTCAACTAGCCCTCCTTCCTCAGCCCCCCCTCCCCAGGGATGAGGGAGGGCATTTAGCATAGCACCATGGCTGGAGGGACTTGAGTACATCTCTGTTCCTGACTTCTGACTCCCCTGACTTCCTTCACAGTGGTCACTGCCACACTTGTTGAGACAGGCCTCATGTCCCTGGGGACCCTGCTGCTCCTGGCCAGCCGCCTCCTCTTCGTCCTTGTCAGCATCTACTACTATTACCAAGTCGGCCGGAAACCCAAGAAAGTGTAGCTGGCTGGGACCTGCCAGGGCCTGGAGCTGGGCCAGAATAGCTGGGGACTTCACTGCCTGTGGGCCCCAGGCAGGTCTGCAGGCAGGCAGGCAGGCAGGGTGCACCCACCTTCCTTCCCTGCCAGGCACCCCCTGGAGTCAGCTTGCACCTTCTAGGCTTCTAGGAGTGACAAGTCAGGCTGGGGCTTCTGCACCCCACTCCTCGTCCCATACAGGGATAACCCCTTGCCCTGGCTTTCTTGACCTCTAGACTCTAATAGACACACAGTCTGGAGTGGAGTGCTGGGGTCTGGGCTGAGTCAGGGTTAGTTCCTCCACCAGGAAGCCCTTTTCTCTCTAGGAGATTATATCAGCCCCAGCAGCAGATCTCAGCTCCTCTCCATCCAGAAACCTGAAAACTGGGTCTCCCTGTATGAGTCCCTCACATCCCAAACACACACAGACACACATAGACGCACAGGCACACACACACACACACACACACACACACACACACACACACACACATACACACACACACGTTTCCAGGGCCCCTGCTGTGGTCGGCTATCAAGGGGAATGGCTGCCTCCCTTGGGCCTAGGTCCCCATCCTTGATCTGCGTACCTGACCCTCTCTTTGGCCTGCTGTAGAGTGTTCTGATACTCTGGCTGTCTGCACCCCGAAGTCCCTTCCGGACAGAGCAGGGTTAGACAATATAACACAAGTCCTGACAGGGCCTGGCACCCCAGCTGGCCATAGGCTCCTAGTGCATGAGGAATTCTGAAGGGGGGCAAGGCAGGGACTTTTCCTAGGCATGGCCTCCAAGGCCTGCATGGCTACACCTGACTCAGTGCCTCTTCAAGATCCCCTCCAGAGGCTGTCCCAAGGCCTACAGCTCCTCCCACTCTACAGAAGTAAGGACACAGAAGTGGGTCTGCCCTTCCTCAGCACCCTGACAGTGGGCGTCTAGAGCTGAAGACACACCCCTGGAGCCACCGTCCGTGTGGCCCCTCCCCTTGCTCCCAGCTCCCAGCACTTTTCTTCCCTTCAGCATCGAGCACACTAAGTGAGGGAGGTAGCCCAGGGCCTGTCTCTTTCCCTTCTGCAAGGGGGTGGTCCTCCCCTCACCCCACCCCCGCCCCCCGCCCCTGTGCCTGGGGAGCTTTTCTCCAGGGCACCTGGGTTCACAGCTTCCCTGAGCTTATTTGGCCCTGCAGCCAAGTGCCCCATGACAATGGCCGATGCCCAGCAGAGGAGACTCCGGGGAAGTTTTCAATGGAAGACATGCCCAGCGGAGGAGGCCCAGGCTGCTTCTGCTAACCATGGTCTGGCAGAGTGGCGAGAATCTGTGCTTTCAAAGAAGGGACCATTGTGAGCAAGCCACCTTCCGCTGCTGGCTCTGTGCCAGGCTCTCAGTCCCACCTCTTGACTCAGAGCACGGGCCCAGCCGCTGCCACCTCTCAGTACAGTCGCAGCTGCTGTAGTCGGGGTGGCACTGTGGACAGTTCTCAGTGGTGATGGGGATTTATCCTCTCGGATCCCCTGCGAATGCAGAGAGAGTCCCAAAGGGGGTAGTCAGAAAAGTGGAAAGTGCCGGCCCTGCTCAGCCCTTCTGGGGACATCTGCCAGTCTTCCCTTCCGCGACAGGAGGTGGCAGGTCCTGCCCTGGGGTGGGGGTGGGCTGGTCAGGTCACCTTGGTTAAACTGCAGTGATACCTTCACACGGGCTGGGGTCAAGGCCAGACCAAGGCTGGCATTCTGACCTGCTTGTGGCCTCCGGGAGACACTAAGCTAGGAAGGAGGCGGAGATGGAGATAGGAACCCCACCCTGAATCCAAGCTTGGGGTGCCCTGGCTGCCCCTCAGCTCTTGTCATGCTTCTGCCTCAACCCCCCAAGACCTCCTCTGTCATGGTCACTATTTATTCCTCAGTCCTTTTTCTTTTTGTAAGAAACAGTCACAAAAACCAATGTAAGACGATCTGTTTGGTGTCCTGTTTTATATTACAAAATTTCTCTTGATATAGAATATAAAAGGGGGAGCTTGGGAGTTACAATGATAAATTAGCTCTGTTTCCTACTGCAAGGGACATTTACAGATTCCAAAATAGACTATAACATATGATGTGTGTGTGTGTGTGTGTGTGTGTGTGTGTGTGTGTGTGTGTGTGTGTGTGTGATGGGGTTTCTGGAGGCAGGGTGCTGGGCTCAGGACCTGGGTAGGCCAGGGGCTTGGGACAGGGTGCTGAGAAGGGCATGGGCCACAGATCCAGTCTTAGCCCCCTTCCTATAGGATACTGCTGTCCCTTTGGCAAGTGGCTCTGGAACAGGCAGAGGCTGTTCTGCTCACTACTGGGTGAGGGTCACAGGACATCTCAGGTGAAGCTGTAGGTCCTGGGGTGAGAGGTAAAGGGAGGGTTCCGTTCCCCTCCCCTGGGAGTACACAGAGCAGGCCGCCAATCCCCACTAGAGTGACCTCAGACAGTCTTGTAGATGGCTACTGGCAACTTCACAGGGTGGACCGCCAGCCTCCCTCTTGGCCTACGAGGGTGCTGGCTGAGGAGTTGGAGCCATAGCTGGGTTGGATCTGGCCTACCCTGGGGCTCTTCAACATCTATATGCAAAGTTCTCCTGTTGAGAGTATGATTTACCCTGGAACTGCCTGGGCTGGCTGTCTGCCTTCTCAGCCCTCTGTCCCAGTCCTGCCCCCTCTGGAAGCCTGGGCTAGCTCTGGGCAGCAGCCCCTGTGGTTGGGCTCTGTCCTGTTCAGCCAGGCCACGAGCTTCCCAATCGACCTCAGCTGATCCGTTTGCCTTCCTAGGCTGTTGGAGCCCAGTATGCCGTGGGTTCTGAGTCAGAGCCAAGGTTCTCTTAGTCTGGGCTGGAGCCAGCAGGGGGGTCCTCTGACCTGGTGACTCAGTCTCCAGGCTTCATTTTATGGGGATGCCAAGTAAGTTGTCATAAGGACAACTTGGAAAAGTGGTGCTCAAAGACCCCCAGAAAGTCCAGGATGGGTGAGGACATGAAGAGGAGGGTCCCCTTGAACCCAGACAGCACAGGCAGCAGGGGAGCCCTGGGCTCCAGGCTATGACTCCTAGGTGGCAGGAAGGCAGAGGAAAGCTGGAATTAGATTAGGCTCTTCCCTCTGGGAGAGGAGAGTAGGCACCACTCGGTTCCTTCCACCACTGCCCCCCACCCCCACCCCCGCCCTGCTGAGACCATGGCAGACATAATTAATCAAACTTGAGATTCTGACAGACACCACTAATGGATTCAACATGGTCCTGACATGCAACCCAATTGGCAACCTAGTCTGTAGTCTGAGTTTGTGTGTGTGTGTGTGTGTGTGTGTGTGTGTGTGTGTGTGTGTGTGTGTGTGTTTAAGTTGTAGACCCATGAGTCTGGGCAATCTGAGCCTAGAGAGAATAGCAAAATGTCATTGGGACAGCCAAAGGACAGAAAGTGTGCCATGGTAGGAAGGGCTGAGAGGCTGTGGGGTTCTTTAAGTCTGCAGACAAGAGTTATGACCTTAACCTCTAGGAAGGAGAGAGTGAAGGGAATACATGGACAGAAGCACAGGAAAACAGAAACCCTTCTGTCTGTTGAGGTGATGGTGACGTCAGAGCTTCTGAAGGCAGGAGGCCGCATTGGGAGGTAGTGAGCTCCACATGTGGAGGTATGCGGGGGGGGGGGGGGGGGGGGGGGGCGGGATTCTTGGCAGGGACCTTGAAGAACACATTCAAGCCTCAGCTCTGGGTAGAAGGAGAAATGAACAATACCGGGGTGTCTTCCACCTGGGAGAAGAGGGGGGTTGTGTGGCCCACAGGGACAGGTGATGTATGGCAGTAGGCTTAGTAGAGGTACCAGCAGGGCAGAGTGGACACAGGACGGACTTTTCTCAGCTGTAGAACTTGGTGCAGGCAATTCCTGGCCAGTTTACATTGGGATGCTGAGGCAGATCTGAGGGAGGCCTGGCTGGAGTGACAGCAGCCCAGAGATGACCTTGTCATGCACGTGCTGTGTGACCGTGGACAGGTCACTGCCCTTTTCTGGGCCGAGGAGAGGCTTTGATCCAAGAGATGAGGAAATCAAAGACGGCCACTTTCAGATCCAGTGTCCACACTCAGCCACCCTCAGCCCGCCAGGAGCAGGGACAGCCTCGTCCTCCAGCAGATGGCGCTGCAGATTCTGTCCTTGGGTTGTGAAAAGTGCGTCTCCTTGGGGCCTCTGAGCTCTGGCTCATCCTCCAGGGTGTGTTTCTGCCTTCTGGGTGCTCAGATCCTGGAAATGTTAAGAAAGGGGGCCCAGGCCAGAGGACACTCCAGTCTGACAGGGCCCAGGGGCTCTGAGGCTGATAATCCTTTGGTCTCAGGAACAGCTGGTCCCAGGCCAGCCCTAGGTCCTTGTCGACATCCATAGCTCCTGCCTTGGAGCCAAGGTGAGGCCTCTTTAGTTCACATCTGTCTTTGTTTTGTTTTGTTTGTTAAAAATTAGCTCTATGCTCCTGGCCATCTGGGCTGGCTTTGCCTCCTCCCCTGGGGGCAGAGGACAAGGAAGGGAGGGGGCTGGCTACTGGACAGTGGTGGGCTGGGTATCTTCAGACCATGGCCTACTGGATGCCCCGGAAGAGGCACATGGCAAAGATCATGAGGAAAAGCTGCAGAGAAAGGAAGAAGGTGAACCAGAGTCAGGCTGGGTGCACGCCCAGGGGTCACCCAGCACACTTCCCGAGAGGATTTTTGATACCGCCCAGGGCAAGCAAGTGCTCACCATCCATCTAAGAAGAGGGGGTTGGAAAGCAAGCGATCTGTTTAAATAGTTCAAATCTGCATTTCTTGGGTCAGCAAAGACTTTAAGCAGAGCATAACCCTTCTTGGGCCCCAAGTGTGTACCAAGCGCTGACCATGTAAAGTAAATTTTAAGTGCTATATCAGCAGGCTTTCTGACCAGCAGGAAGTGAGGCACAGAGAGGTTGTACAACCTGATTCAGGTCATACAGCTCCAGTGGGGCAGCCAGGCTTGAGCAGAGACCTGCTGCCTGCCCTCAGAGCTCCCCTTGATTCTAGCCGCTGCACTCTCAGTGAGCTCACGGGGACACGATGAGGTTTGCAGAGGTTACAGCACCCTGACCTTGACCTCTTGCTACATTGAGGGAAAGCTATGCACACAGGACACGTTCTTGACATTTGCCCAGCCCCAGGAAGATCTGTGTGTCTGTTGTTAGTTTCAGTTCCCACGGGAGGCTTTGTTCACTTCCGGCAGTGCTAGCATACAGCAAGGGCTTAATATGTGCTTGTGGAATTAACAAATGATGCCCCCGTTTCCCCTGTGGCTTATATTATCCCGAGAGACAAGGCACAGAGGACATTGAACAAGGAGATATCCAGGGTGCCAGGTGAGCAGAGCATCCTTGAAGGGGGCCCTAAACAGCAGGAGGCAAGGGCCTAGCATCAGGCTGGCTGGCTTCATTGCCCCAAAGAGCATCCCAGAACTGGGCAGGGGGCCGTGAGAAGGGGAGGCTGAAGCGCCACCTAGTGGTAGCTCAAAGGTCAGCAGCTACTCAGATGTGTATGCTCTGGGGCCCTGGGATAAAGGGTACTAAGGCTTTGTTGTTAAAAAGACACCCTGAACACTTGCAAAGGCACGGCCTTATCAAGAAGCACCCCAGTCTTCAAGGCAGCTCACGTATCCCACAAAGTGCACTTGGAGTGCAGAGTTGGGGTGAGATGGGGTACCTCTCAGGGCCTGCCTACTCTCATTGTCCTGGGACAAGCAGACTTGTAGCTTCAGGCTACAGGGATTTCTCTAGCAGCAGATGTTTGCAGCAGCCAGCAACCATGGATCTGGGAAGTAGACTGTGTGTCCAGGCCCCAAGGCTTCTTCCCAGGGGGCCCTACTCACCTCAATAGCCAGCACCCCAATGGCAAAGGCCCCAGCCAGGTAGACATAGGTTTCAAAGGTGTTGAGGATCACTGTGTAACAGCCCTGGGAAGGAAAGGATAGGGATGAGGGAAGTGCATTCTGCAACTGGGGACCATTGTTGGCACTGGAGTCCCTGGTATTGGCCCCAGCACTCAGCAACACAGGCTGACATTTTCATACTGATGTGGGGCTGAGGAAGAATCAGGTCATTGACAGAATTGACAGTATCCCCACAGTGACATCCAGTCCCGAGACAAGCTGAAAACTTCCCAAGGCTAATTCAACCTTAGACCCAGGGTATGAGGAAATGTCCAAACACCCAGGCTTTCTGGTGCTCTTTAGAAGTTGGGACTGAACCCCAAAGGCAGAGCTGCCTGAGCTTCTTCAATCAGGATGTCCTATGGTGCCCCATGTCCTAGGGTGGGACAGCAGCTCGCAGAGGTTCACAGTGCCCCTCAGTCCCTCTCTTGACCAGCCTGACTGCTAACTTTTCAGCCCTTCTCCCTCAGTCTCACAGCAGCAGCCACCTCCATGTGACTCATGTGCCTGCTGCCTCTCTAGCACCTTGGGAGACAAGACATCTCCCACTGGGCCTCAAATACATCATACTTTGTGTCCCTGCCCCTGACCCCCATGGTGGCCACAGATATCCGTCCATAACAAGTCCTCTCTGTGAATTATATATACAGCAGTGTTGGGGATCAAACCTAGGACCTAATGCTGACCATGCAAATGCTCTACCACTGAGCCACACCCACCCCAGCTCCAAATGAAATATACACATTTTTTTTTTTGAGATAGGATCTCATGTAGTCCTGGCTGCTCTTGAACTCTCTATGTAGTGGAGGATGACCTTGAACTTCTAATCCTCCTGACTTTATCACCTGAGTGCTAGGATTACCCAGTTTATGGGGGTAGTGGATGGAACCTAGGCTTCATGTATGCTAGACAAGTCTATTGGTTGAGCTATACCCCCAGCTATCCAAAACACATTCTTAAAGAAACAGTTTTCTTTCTTTTATGATTACTGGAATATTCTTTGGGCCCAACTGAGGACTTTCAAGTGAACTGGCTTGGTGGTGTGGCAGGTGTAGGAATTGTACCCATCTCTGTGGGGTGACTGTTGGATTTGGGGTTCTGCCAAGACTGGGGTCTTGGTGTTCAAGTCTCTTGCTGTTTCCTACTCAGAATCCCACTATCTTTGGCTAGAAGTGGACCCGAGGAGGCTATCTCTGAGCAAGGAGACAGTAGGACCTGATCAGAGACAATGGCCAGGTGGGAGTCACAGTATCTTCCAAGTGGAGGCTGGCTAGGAGCTAAGGAAGGGTGGGGGTGCCTATTCTCCCTGGAGCACCATGGAGTGAGTGGACAGACTGCGTAGGAACACACAGACTCCAGCACGAGTGACCTAGTCAAGCAGAAGGTTGGCTGGTGGACACTCCCCAGGGACAGGGAAGCCTTGGCGAGAGTGAGCAGAGGGGATGGATGGTACTACCTACACTTAGCATTCCCTCTGCCAGGAGCTTTCTGGGATTCATGTATCCTCCATGAAGCCCCTAGTGAGAAGTAGCTTATCTGTGGTTTACCTCCTCAGAAACGGGGAGAGAGCAGGTGGGTGGCTCACTTGAGACCACGCACACAGCAAGAGGGGAAGCCCAGATTCAGAGAGGGGCCTGGGATTCCTTTCCCCTTTATCCTGAGGGGACAGAACTATTTCAGAAACGCTGTCCTCTTGTGTCCAAGCCCCTCTATCACAGCCTGGGTCTGACAACACCCTGGGCATCACTCCATGATGGAGCACCCCCATCTGGCAGAGGGACAGAACATCACTCTCCAGATACGTGTCATAGGGCCTATCCTCCAATGTTCGGGGGCGGGGGGATGTTCCTCACCCTGATTCCTTCTCATAGTCACCCCAAACCAACCAGAGAGAGGGCAGCTCACCCTGGGCAGCAACACCCACATTCTTATCATTAGGAAGCCCTTCACAGGCTCCAGGATGAGTACCTCACTGCCCACCTGGGATCCCTGCCTGGATATCTCAAAGGTACTTCACACTCAACATTCCCCAAACTTTACAATGTCCCTCAGCCCAGGAAGCATAGAAACACCTTTGTCACAGGCCTGTACTCACACTGAGATTTATCACAAGGCCAGTAATTCACCTCACCACCACTCCAGCTGTTGTATTATCCTTCCTCCTTGGGACCACTGTTCATGCAGAACTGTTTTGAATTCCTAGCTCCAGGGCAGCCAGAGTCCCAACCCAGCCACCTCCACATTCCCGAAGGAACTACACACTTCTAGCAGTCTGGCTTGTGCCAGTCACACATGTGTCCTGGGCTTTGTGGAAGGCAGTTCTGCGAGAATGCAACTGGAGATGGTCTCCCAGTGGAGGCTCTTCACAGAAAAGATGGCCCGGAGGGAATGCCAGCGAGAGAAGCAGCCCCGGTAGCTCCTAGCCCCACTGAACCCCCAGAGGCTCTGTGGTGGAGAATCGATATGGCTGTGTGGTCCTCAGCCCAGGAGACAGCAGGAGAGTCCTCACGGGGGAAGTGTCTAGAAACCAGGAACTTGCAGGAGAAAGTTCAGGATGAGGGGTGGGGCGGGGCAGGAGCCTGGCTGTGGGACTCTCCCCCAGTCCCACCCAACTCCCGATCCCTCAGCAGCTCCTTCAGTGAAGAAACTGTGCATCTCCTCTATGATCTGCTCGTTCTGTGTAGATCTACCACCACAGCATCTTCTCCCTGTCCTCAGAAGGGTCCTGGGTGGCTGCATTCTGGTGGAAGTGGGGGTGTCACACTTTCTCATAAGGGTGTGACTCGGTTGCCCAAATGTTCTTTGTTCATATCCCCTTGGCTAAACGTGTGATTCCGGGCCTTTGACAGACAGTGGGAGAGGCAAGGCTTCTGTCTCACATTTCTGAGCTGCCTGGGCTTTTCACCCCCTGCAGGGCAAGCATCAGGGAAGCAGTTGGGTCAGCAGGCCTCGCTTTCGATGAGCAGGTAATGGCTAAGGCCTGTCAGCAGTGGAAGCACGAGACCCCCCCACATCCCTAGTGCTTCCCACATTCAACTTGCTCTGCACATAGGTCCCTGCCATCCAAACCTTCAGCGGCCTGCTCTCTCCATTGCCACCACTTCCCGGTGGTGCCCTCCAGCTTTATTCCTGTCTCTTTCCTGGGGGTAGGAAGGCAGGCTGTGGGACAGAGGAGCTGAGCTCCGGCCTATCCCAGACGAGGTACAGGGACAAGAGCTGAGCTCTTGGTGTCAAGTTGAGGCCACGGGATCAGGTCTGAGCCCAGTGATGCCCTCCCTTGGGACTCTGAGAAGCTTAAGCTCCAGCCCATGCACATCTCGGCACTTCCTTCAACTGATTTCCACCCCCGCAACCAGCACTGTGGGATCACTTTTGTTCATGGTTCACCACCTACCACCTCTCCCTAGACCTGGGTCCCCGTGGGAGCAGGGCCGGGTCTCCCCTCTTGTGCTCCACCAGCTCCCGGCATTCGAAATTCTCCCAGGGAAAGTCTGGCCAGAGGACAAACCCAGATGTGGCTCTCATGCTCATCCCCTCCTTCCTCCCTGCCTGCCCGGCATCCTCATAAATAGAGTGTATCCCTAAGGAGGACCCCCGACCCCCCGCCGACCTCTGACTTCTATTATTAGAAGTTTGGAAAACTCACCTTGGAACAACAGCCCCAATTCCCACCCCAGCCTGAACCCAATCGTCTCTCGCCAGTGTGATCCCCTCCCCACTTCCTTGGATCTCAGAGGCATGAGTCGAAGCCCGTGCCGCAGCCAGAACGGTCTAAAAAAAGCCCCCGACCACCTTCCGACCCTCCGGGCAGACACTGCTTGCCCCCAGCTTTGCCCGTATTGGTGGAGTGTCTGCTGGGAGCAGGGAAGTACCTGTTTGTTTATGAATGGACTCCTTCCCAGCTGGCATTCCTCTCTGTTGACCAGCACCCCATCCCGAGTCTGGGGTTCCCTCCGGCAGCAGGCCTTGGGCACCTCCTCACTGTCGAAGGTCAGCAGCCGAAATACTGAGGCCATCTTGAAGTCTTCGGGCCCGTTGACCCCACAGCAGCCAAACTAGAAGAGAACGGAAAGTGGAAGCCAGAGCTGGAGCAGAGGGGCTGTTAGCCTCGGCCAGGGTCCAGCTCCCTCTGCCTTCCTTGTGACGGTGGTGGTGGCCAGTGTCCCTGGGCTTCGGGGTCCTCTCTGTAGGAGGGGCACGGCAGTCTGTTCCTTATCTCACCAGCACTTGGCAAGCACTTCACATATAGTTGCTATGATTTTAGAATATGCTATGCTAATTATTATTGTTCCTTTGGCATGTGTGTATTTGTTCATGTGCAGGGGTGTGTGTGTGTGTGTGTGTGTGTGTGTGTGCGTGTGTGTGTGTGCATGGAGGCCAGAGGTCAGTCTCAGATGTCATAATTCAGGGGCTGTCCTTTTTTTTCTTTTTCCAAGACAAGGTTTCTCTGTGTAGCCTTAGCTGCCCTGGAACTTGTCCTTTAGCCCAGGCTGGCTTTGAACTCAGAGATCTGCCTGCCTCTCTGCCTCCTGAGTTCTGGGATTAAAGGCGTGAGCCTGCATCACCCAACTGTATCTTATTTTTTGAGACAGACGTTTTACTGGTGCCTGGGGCTCATAGATTAGGCTAGGCTGGCTGGCTAGTGAGCCCCAAGGATTTACCTGTCTCTGCTTCCCCGGTGCTGGGATTATAAGCGTACATCCTAACACCTGGCCTTTTACATGGGCGCTGGGACTGAAACTCAGTTCTCTGTGGTGTCACAATAAGCACTTCACTAACTCAACCATTTTCCCAGCCGCTGTACTAATTATTATTAACATCAGTGACAATGGCTATTGCTTGAGGACTGAAGTCAGGGGCAGTGAACAGATTTTGTGGAGAGTCTGGACTTCGATTTACTAGCTGTGACAACTTGGAGTGCTGTACAAATGATTATTCACAGGCCAAGAATGGGATCGGTGATTCTTGCCCGATTGATGATGTCTGGCACAGGCAGGGGACTGAAAACACTCTAGAGGGTGACCTCTAGACCCTTTCCAGGTCAACATTATGGCTTTGGATGCTCACGCATTCCAGGACGGCATGGCAAGGGGCACTCACTGTGATCATGACCGAATTCCAGGTGGCAGAGAACACGTCCGTGTCATTATTGCCTTGGTAGTGCTTGGTGAGCTCCTTGGTGAAGAACTCTCGGGTGAGCTGGGGACAGAGGAGAGGATGCTGAGTCTGCTGAGTCTGGCCTCCCAGGTCATCCTAAGCTGTCCATTTTGGGGCAGGCACTCCTTCCCAAGGCTTGGGGCCTTGCTGTGTCATCACGGGCCATTGCTATGTCAAGGCTGTCTGCACACACAGTGCTCAGCTAACCCCAGGACGGAACACACTAGGGACCCTGCTCAGCCTTGCCGCTCTTCTCAGAGGATGAGCACTGGGGAGGTGGGGCAATTGCCATCCCATCCTTCAGAATCAGCAGGTGGCAGGTCCCACCTACAGGAAGCCAGGGTGTGGGTAAAGAAGGAGACTTCAACGACCCATTGCTCCCGACTGTGTCCTCAAAGTCACTGTTCCTCAAGCTGGCTCCTTGTCCCAGGCCAGCCCATGTGTCTCATCCTACCTTTTCTCCTGTTTGGAGCCCAGGCCCTTCTAGCTGTGGTGCCAGGCCTTGCCCACTAGGCTCAGGGCAAGGAGCTGGATGAAGCTTCTCGAATGAATGGCCCATGATGTAGGCTAATCAGAGGGGCTGGTAGCCTACTATGACACACAGCATGCCCAGACTGGGTTTGTCCTCTCCCACCACCTGATCATGTGACACCTGTCATTGGGTTGGATATAAATTCTAGAATATCAGGTGGTTCAGGAGAGGGGACCCATAAGCACCCCTGGGTGAGGACTTCTGGAAATACTCCCACAGAAGGAGACTGCACTGGGCTGAGTTGCTCTGGCCCCTGGCCCCTCCCTGAGGTGCAGGTCATGTTTAGGCTTGTGGGACAGCTAGTTCTAAGAGACTCTTGGGGGGAGGCAGGGGTCACTCTGCAGCCCCTGTGCTCGGTGGGTAGTGAGGGCAGCAGGGTGGGAAGCTGAGTGGTACATACGTGTTCCCTGAAGATGAAGGCCAGGATGGCTGCTGAGAGCTCTACCAGGAAGATGACCAGGATAAACAGGAAAAACTGCAGAGAGAAGGCGGCCGTGAGGCCCACGTGGGCACCATTTTACCACGCACCCTTCTGTGATAGAGGAGTGCACTCATCCTGTAAGGCAGACCTTTGCTGCCATAAATCACCGTCCTCATAACAAACACGCCAAGGATCTACCCTTGGAGGCACAGAGTTGCAATAAAACGTATGAGCAACACGGGCAGATAAATCTGTCTTCCGAGCACATGGTCACTGGGAGAAGTGGCTTTGTAGAGTGTACAATCTGAGCAGCCCTACCTGGGGGCCCTGGGAGGAGGCTGCTGCTGGAATTTGCTTGGGCTCCCTTTGGGGATATTTCCCTCTATGAATTGTCCAAGCTGTGGGATCCTGAATTTTTGGGGATTCCAGGCTGGGTCCCCTGCCCTGTTAACCTGAAGGCCACTTTTTTCCCTGCCCCAGTGTCTCTGGTTGCCATGGAAATAGGGAGGCCATGCTCTCTTTAGTGGAAGCAGGAAGCCATGTAATCTTCAGCTGAAACGCAGGCGTGAGATGGTCAGCAAGGTGGTGGGACTCCCAGAAAGTCCAGGGGAGGGGAGTTTGATGTCCAACACAGAGCCCTGTCTGCTCCACTCACTAAATCCCTGTGTTCCACAGATTAACCAGGGTGCTCTGGTGTGGAGCCCTCCCATGTTGGGTGGTCTCTTGTTAAGCTCCAGCCTCACCCCTGAGAGGCTTTCCTGACTTCTCCCAGTGGGCCCTCTCCACATCACAGCATCGAGCAGAGGCACCCCAGCAGGCACCCCAGGACTTTGCCGCCAGCTGCAGTCTGCCTCCCTCCAGCACCTGAGAGGCCTCACAAATGAACAAATGATCATGCCGACCCTGTGATACATTATGTGTCTCAGGCACCGGTCCTCACCAACACTGTTCTGGACTTGGCTCAAAAAATAGGAAGAAGCGCTTTGGCCTGCCTTCTTCAGTACACTTACAAACTCCATCCTCACCCCTGCTGGAGCCACCAGCAGGGGACCCACTGCGAGCACACCCGGGCTGGTCCCTATGTCCCATCCTCCTGGCCACACTCAGGCTGCTCAGCCTGTATGGGTTGTACTGGACCAGAAGGAGATGAGGGTGTTGGGCTTAGCTTGAGGAAATCTAGGGTCCCTCTTTCCTAATAATACGGGACGGGTAATGAAGATGGATGATATAATGGAGTGAAGATGTCCCCACGCCATGGAAGTGTCCCCAGGCCATTTGGATGAGCTGTAGAACCTGCCTCTTGCTCAGAACTCAGTCACTTGGCTGTGATGAGTGATGCCCTCATCACTTGGATGCCCTGGGCCATGGTGGATGGCTCTGAGGGATTTTCTCTCATCATTTTCTTTTTCCATCAGAAACCTGTCACTTCGTCCTCATCCTGGGAGACCCAAGTCATTTTCCCACTATGGCTTTTCTGCTCCAACACAGCTTCCCCAGAGAGGTCCCAAACTGTTGAGCATGGGCCACTTTGGGAAGAATGAAGGACAGCTGTCAGACTGACAGGCCCCTAGACCATTGCATAGTCTGCTAATGCAATGTCTGAAGAGAGGAGGCTTGTCTCAGACTATCCACAACGGGACCATCTCCCTGGCCCATTGCTCTGCCGAGGGAGCAACCTGTGGGCTCTCTGCATCCCCCATGGCTGTGCACACCACTGTTTCAGCAGGCGGACGGGCAGACACTCAGGTTCAAGCTGCCTCTGACCTCGGACTCAGGCCCTGGCCCCAGTCTTTCCCATGGCTCTTCTCTATCGCTTTCTCTGGTCCGAGGAAGCTGGGGCTGCCGAGGTGATGACTGGCCCCAAGGTGTGAAGACTGAAAAGCCCCAGGCCACCCCTCTCCTGCTTGGGGCTTCTGGCTGCCTCCGTGCTAAGAGAAGGTCTGCAGGCCGGGGGAAGCATGGCAGGTGAGTAGCAGCCTTGCTGGAGACAGTGTGGGGCAGCCTGGCACATCCAGGCTGACTCCAGCCGGAAACCCAGCAGTCCTCAAAGACTGGGGGAGTCTTGGGCTGAGGACAGGGAACAGTGTGAAATAGGCCAGAAAGCTTCCAAGGCGTGGGGCAGGACCCTGGCCGCTGCTCCCCAGTCTTTTCTGTACCCTTTGGCCTGGCTTCCGTGAGTCTGGCTATGCCTGGGCAGAGCAGCCACTGAGAGAGTGTCTTTTTGCAGCCTCCCCACCCTCCACCCTGGCAGAGATCTGGCACTTCCGTTGGGCTGGTCATCCGCTCTACTCGACGTGGGCTCCCCAGGGCTCCTCCCCACGCTGTGTCCTCCCTGATGGTGGGCAGGTCCTCTGGCTGTTGACCCCACAGGGAAGCTCCCAAGGCTGGCGGTGTCCAGGAGTCACAAATTATGGCTGGCCCGTGCCCATGCGTGATCGCTTTGCAGTCTCCGTGAGATTGTAGGTGGTGAGCTTTGCTTGAGAGCAACCTTGCTGATCTGCCGGGAAGACCACCGAGAACCACCGGAAGCCTGGGCACCATCTAGGAAAACAGCGGCCGCCACGTCCTTTGCTCCCACCACCTCAGTGCAGCATGCCACTCGTGGCGGTCTCCTTTCTGGAGCTTGGGGGAGGGGCAAGTGCCCTGGGCAGCAACCCTCCGTTTTGCTGCTGGACTGTGGCTCTAAGAGGAGGTGGTGTTGATGCCATTTGGAGGTGACTGCAGGTGATGGTACTGCAGCTTTGGGGTGACAACAGGAGCTTTCAGTTCTTAAGAGTTGTGAATGGCCAGCACTGATGCTTTTTATTTCCCATGGATCAGGTCAGGAGCAGAGCTAAGCAAGATGCACCTTTTCCCAGTGGATTGTGAACACAGAATGACAGCTGGGAAGATCTGGTTATCCCCATTTTATATATGAAGAGTCTTAGGTTCAGAGAGGTTAAGCAGCCAGCCCTGGGATGCACAGCCAAACATCAAAGCTTAAACTCTCACTAACACCTCTGATCTGCCTCCTCCTTGGGCCCCCATCCCAAGCTTCCATTGAGCGCCTGCTCTGAGATACTCTGGGCATGGACAAGCCAACACACACAAGGAAGACACAGGCTCACCCGGGGGTGGGCTGCACAGAGCTGAAGCCTTAGGAGAGATGCCAAGAAGAAATGTGGCAAATCTTGGCCCTGGGAAAGGGAAAGAGAAGCCTGCCCAGAGGCCGGGAGCTGGGAGCTCCCACCCAGTGCAGATCTGCCCTGCACAGGGTGTGAGTTTCAAAGTTCAGGTTGCAATACCTACACCAGACACAATGCTGTTTTCGCCCTCCTGGGACTCCTCCAGTCAAGTGACTTCTTCCTGCTCACACAGCTTCCTGCTGCTTGGGACTTTCCCCAGGGGGCACAGGATGCCCTCCCAGGGGATTCCCACCCTTTGATTACTACCTCTGTTGAGGACAGCAGAGCCTGGGTGCTCTTACCCATGGGGAATGTTCTGGTTCTCCTTTCTAATAAACTGTTTCCACACAGTACAGCTCATGTAACTGTTCAATATACTCACTCACTCTCTGCTTCTTCCCTCTCTTTCCCCTCCCCACCCTTGTTAGAATTAAAGATACTCTTTAGGTAAGTTGGATATAGGGCTCCTTGTGACATTCAGAGGTGACACACAGGAAATGGCCAGGACAGACTATCAGTCGAGCTGGTGTTGGGGGACACTGACCCACACATGTGCTGTCATCGTTAGCTAGGTTAGCCATTAGGTGACTGGTCACAGGGCCAATTATCCTCAGACGAAGGCCCCAGAACCAGTCAGGGCTTGCTCCATGTCCAGGTCTTATTGCCACAAACCTTGGAGCCAGGGTCCTGGGATAGCTAAAGCCGTATTCTGTTTGTCCTGTCCAGACAGCCAGGCTAAGGAGGAAGTCAAAAGCCTCCAGGGAGCCCCAGATGCCACCAGGGTCTGACTCAGAGGTCCTCTTCTACAGGAGCAACCACATAGCCAGCTTCAATTTGAGAAAGAGAACTGGTTGGAACCTTTCCGAAAACCTTCCAGAAGGGGCTGTAGCTCAGTAGGCAGAAGGCTTGCCTAGGATATCTAGTCCTGGGCTGGGTCACTAGTAGTGCACAAACTGGGCGTGGGGGCACCTGTAATCCCGGTGTTTTGGGGGGGGGCGAGGCTGGAGGATCAGAAGTTCAAGATCATTATTCTCGCCCCCATGGCAGCCTGGGCTTACATGAGGCCCTGTCTTGGAAAAACAGAAAAGCTTCTCAAATCATCAATGCCCCTCAATCCCACCCCACCACATACATGCTACCTGTACATGTGTTTGCACACAATTCACACACTACTACATAACCCACCAAACACAACACAGGTACACACATCATATACATATAGCAAAACACATATGCACGCGTAATATGTACACATGCACCTGTAATAAGCTATTCAGGGTACCACATACCACACATGTACACACAACACACTTAGAACACACACACACACACACACACACACACACACACACACACACACGCCCACAGCTCTAGCGCTCTTGCACATGATTTTGGCCTGTCCAGATCTATTCTGGGTTGGGGCTGAACGGCGCTGGTTTGGATGGCAGCAGTCTGAGTATTCTGCCTTGCTTCTGATCCACACTGACTTTAGGCTTGTGTGAACCGTTGGAGCGGGGTGAGCAGGGAACAGAGAGAGGCGGAGTGATAGGGAGGGAGATAAAAGGGAGCAGGAAGAGAAACTGAGAGATGGCAGAACCTGAGAGGGCAGAGGAGGGGCTGATATATGAGCAGGACCAAGTGGAGACAGAGGGGGTCAGCGAGGAGGGGACCCGGCTGGGACAGCTCTTAGCTGTCCTAAGGGGACTAGTCTGATCCAGCCTGTCCCCAGCTCTCAGCCTTCTCCTCAGACTTCACCAAAGACAAATGCCCCATTCTCCTCTCCAGCTGGCAGGGTGCAGGGCACACTTAGCCGAGGCTGGCAACACAGCAGGGCACAGGCTGCTCTCAGCCAAGAGCACAGGCTGCCTTCCGGGCTTGGCTGCTGGGATGGACCCATTAACAGCGATGCATCCCCGGGGACCACGGCGAGGAGGGGATGCATCCTGCTTTCCGGATCCCGTTTCTTTCCCCCCTCTCTCTTTTATTGAGACAGAACCTAAGACTGTAGCCCAGGCTGGCCTTGATCTCACGGCAGTCCTGCATTAGCCTCCTCAGTGCTGGGATTACAGGTGTGCACCACCACGCAGGGTTTACAAACCCTCTTTTTATGTGTACATATCTGTATCTGTGTTTTCAGTTAGCATACAAAGCAGCGGGTTTCTTTATGGCATTTTCACACCTCTTTAGTTTTGGTTGCTCCCTCGTCTCCCCATCTCCTCACCTCTTCCTTCTCAGCACCCCCAATCCACCTTTCATATCATATGCATTCTGGTATCTTCCCATTTCCTCCCTTAAAGTCTTTTTTTCCCCTCTCTTGGGCCCCTTGCTAGTTTTCTGGCCTCTACCCAGTGCTTACTCCTACACAAATACACATAAATAAAAATTAGAAGCTTGGATCTGCATGAGAAAGAACATGCGCGATTTGTCTTTCTGAGCCTGAGTTACCCCACTTAATATAATATTTTCCAGTTCCACCCACTTTGCCTGAAAATTTAATAAATTTCATTTTTCTTTATGGCTGAATAAAATTCCATTGTGTATATGCACCACATTTTCATTATCCATTCATCCATTTTCTGACTATTGTGAACAGAGCAACAGTGAACATGGATGTGCAAGCCTCACTGTGGTGTGGTAGCACATGGAACCCTTGGGGCACACGCCTAGGAGTAGCACAGACTGGTCATCACGCACTGAGACCAGGTCCTTCTTAAAGCCCTTGCCTGGCTCCCCAGCTAGAGAGCTGCTACATGCAGGAGCTGACGGATGCGGAAGGGACCATCCACTAGGGGGCGCCCGCAGGTTTCTTTGTCTCTCCTAGTAAAGTTGGCCGTGTTCCGCTCTGAGAAATAAAAGGACCTACAGCTCCCCTGCCGCTCGTGTCACAGGCCATTGCACTTCCTCTCTGGGAGGTGGAGCACACAGCTATGGTAGGAATGAGCCACATGGGGGTGTCTTAATCTGGGAGGAGCCCCAGGCCAGATGTCCTCCTCTAGCAGGCCTGGTGCCACTGTAGCAAAGAGAGTTTCACTACTTGCAAGGCAGTGCCTTTGATCTCAGCACACTTGGCTGTGCCCACGCTGAAGGGATCCCCTGGGGGTCTGAACCGAGTGGCCTGCCCTCCAGGAGTGAGGCACTGGCTAGTGTTTTCTGTCCCGGCTCCTGGGCCTTAGTCCACGGGTCCTCTATGAGGAAGTCCTGCAGCCCACCAGCCAAGGTGGCCCTGTCACTGAATTGCATGCCATCTATGCACAGGGAGCATCTTCAGGTTTGAGGTATGTATGTATTCATCCCTAAGCAGGAACCCTGCAGCAAAAGCTGAGTTCAACGTTGAAATTCTCTTGGCCCCAGGCCCACAGGAGCTCCTGGGAGAGCACCCCATCCACCAAGACCAGGACAGCAAGCCCACCTCACCACAGCCCAGAGGAGTCCAGAGAAAAATCATCTGCTGCTGCCTGATCTGCAGAGAGTCAGCCTCCAGCATAGGTAGTCGGTCCCTCGACACTCAAAGATGCTGAGGCTGAGAGGGTAAGAAACCAGACGGGCAGCACAGAGCAGGGTACACACTCACACCCAGGCTTGCCTCCTGCCTAGCACATCCTCCCTCGGTGGCTAGGTCACCTCTCACAGCTTGGGCATGATGGAGGGGACAGTTACTCCGGGTCCCTGACCCATCTCTAGCACCAAGGGAACTACAAGGGTACCCCAAAGCAGGAGTAGAAGGTTGTGATGGTTAACATGGACTGTCAACTTGGCAGGGTCTAGAGTTACCTAGGCGACAAGCCTCTGGCCACGTCTGTGAGGAAGTTTCTAGGTTGGGTTAACCGCAGAGGGAAGATGTGCCCTATACATGGGCATTACCACCCCATAGGCTGGGATCCCAGAACGAATAAAAACCAGAAGGTGAGTTGAGCACCAGCATGCATCTCTCTCTGCTTCCTGACTACAGAGACCATGTGACCAGCTGCCTCAAGCTCCTGCCACCATGCCTTTCCCCCCTTGATAGATTGCACCTCCAAACTGAGCCAGAAGAAACCGTTCCTTTCCTAAGACGCTTTTGCCCGGCCATTTGTCATAGCGAGGAGAAAAGTAACAAATAGAAAGAATTAACAAGCAGCTTCGGAAAGCATTCCATCTCCACTCCGGAAGTGGAGAGCTGCAGTTGTGATCTGCCTACAGCCAGCTTGGCTTCGTTACTAAGGGTTTATAGATCAGGGCTTTTGGAGGAAGGAAACCATCCTAGCCAATACCAATGCCCGCAGTGGACGGTACCCTGAGACGCCTGGCTGTTTCGACTCAAGAGGCCGAGGCCTCTTCAAGAACCATGAGCAGAGGCCCCACGCAAACAGCGGGCTTAGGATCTGGGGCAGCAAAGCTCGGGGACGGCCTTGTTCCTGGGGAGCAGTATCACTCAGCTCAGACCCCAGGGGGACTTCTTGAGCATGAACACAGTCAAGTGTGTTGTGGCCAAGGGCACTGGCTTGACTTTCGGGGGTGGGGGTTGGGGGTAGGGAAGCCAGGAGAAGTCAACTCCCAGAGGCATGGTGAGAAGTCCCAGGGCAGCACAGGGTCACTCTGTGTTGGGATGGCAAGGAGTTAGATCTGGGGAGAGGAGGGAGACTGACTTAAGAGGTAGCTAAGAATCTTCAAATGCTAGCGCTCCACCAAGCAGTCCTCAAGCTGCTGTCACTGCTCAGCCACGAAGGGACCAGAACAGTCTATTGGTCACAAAGTTAAAATGTAAACCAACGGCAGTGAGTACTGTTACCAACGCCCAAAGGGAAGAGGTATGTTTGTGACGGTACAGTTAGCTATCTCCTATCCTTAAACCGCCATCTTGGGTTTGGGGCTACTCAGAACAGACCTTACCAGACTCAAAGTTAAACTAACAGAACATAGTTATTTTTTCCATGGTTGGTCTAAGGAGATGGAGAGGAGTTTTCATGTCAAAAAGCTCAGGTATTGTCCTGAGCAGAACTCAGTTTTCACGCCCACCTCAAAGGCCTCACTGGACCAAGATTTGAGGAACCAGGTTCTTTGCTCTCTCACACAGACTCATCTCAACCCTCCAAAGCGTGTCTTCCTACCTCTGTCAAATTCAAAGCTCTCTCAACCTTCCTTCTGGTCTCTGCTTCATGTTTCTGGAAAGGTGCTCTGGGAGTGTCCCTGACCTTAGCCTCCTCACCCAAGGGTGAGACGACAGTCCAGGGCTTCCGTGACAACCTCTGCACCAACCCCTGAAGGGCTGTGGGTAAGTAGCAGGACATCTCAGGGCTTCCAGATCACTGACCACAATCAGTGGGCTGGAGATTGAACCCAGGACTCTGTGCGTGGCATGTAGGTTCTCTACCACTGCGTTACATCCCCAGATCTCAGGACTCACTGGCCTTCCTGCTGACAGCCACAGAGGTGGGAAGAACTTTTTAATTTCTGAAACCAGGATGGGCTTGGGAGTCAGCAGCCCTCTATCCCTCCCATAGCAGCCACAGATAGAGTCGGGGTGAGGGATGGGTCACTCACAAATAGCAGCAGACACCTGTTCTCTCGGACAGCCCCACAGCAGCCCAGGAAGCCCAGAAGAAACAGTAGGCCACCCATGGCCAGGACGATGTAGGCGCCGGTGGTCAGCAGGGGGTTGGTAGCCACAATCTCCCGGAAGCCAGTGGGATCCACGAGGACCCAGATGCCAACGCCCAGCAGGCAGGCTCCTCCCAGCTGTCCATAGGCGGGCACGGAGAAAAGAGGACAGACAGACAGTGAGGTTAGACGTTCCTTCCACACCCTCCCCTCAGTGAGGCCCGGGCCTGAAGTGCTGAGACATGCAGGGTTAGGCAGGATCTCAACATGCTGAGCCTGAGTCTCCACAGCTCACAGGCCATTTTGAGTCTCCGTGGGACTCAACGTGGCCTGTGGTTCCTTGGCCTTCAGCATAGCTCATACCCTCTCAATTTATTTTCTGACCTGTGTGTCACCTCAGGCTGTGAAGGACTGTGCCACAGAGGGTTTATTTGTGACTTTCATATGCTTCTTAAAATGTCACAGCTCCAAGCTTAGGCGGTTTCCACACTGTGGCCCAGAGGAGGCCATTGACTTGCAAAAGGTCACCTCTCAAGTTCACGGCAGAGTCAAGGCTGCAGCCTAGATCTCCCTGACACTGAGCAAGCTCTGAGGGCGATGCTAAGATCACAGTGGCCACACTAGCGGCAGGGTTTGCCCAATGAACTCCCATTTTTTGTTGTTTTGTTTTGTTTTTTGAGACATACACACAGGTGTGTGTATGTAGGTTTGGCTGTCCTGGAACTCACTCTATAGACCAGGTTGGTCTTGAAGTCACAGAGATCCAGCTGCCTCAGCTCTCAAGTGCTGGGATTCAAAGCGTGCGTCACCACTGCCTGGCTGAACTCCCAAAGCCTCTCACTGATGTCTTTGCATGGCCCATCTCTCTCTCCATGCCTTGCTCATCTTGGGAGAGAAGCGGCTTAAGCTGGAGCAGGGGTTGTGTCTTATGTGTATTAGCTGTGTGACTTTAAGTAAAGTGGCTGACTTTTCTGAGCCTTGGCACCCTCATGGTTAACTAGCAGCTTGAATTTCCACCTCCCACATCAGAGCAGTCACAACAGATTTCAGCAGTCAGGACATTCCATTTCTCTTGAGTATGGACAATATTGGAAGTGGGTCTGCTCTGTGTGGAACTGGGTTGACATTGAATCTGGGGGCTAACAGGGCCTGATGTTCCCGTTGGCACAGGTGAAGAACAGCAGGTAGGTTGGGGCGGGGGGTCACTGCCGCCTCTGGCTTACTCAGCAGGCCTGTAAGCTGTGGACAGAGCTGAAAGGCTGGGTAAAAGCCACTGGCAGGTGCATCAGGCGGGGTGGGTGGAGAGACTAGAGGAGAAGAGGGCAGGCCGGAGGAGAGGCCAGAGCCGATTGCTGTACCCTAACTTTTGCCTCAGTTTCCCCACAAATCCTCCAGGAAGGTCTGCTCCTCTCATCATTCTGGGTGGCTTTGGAGTTTAATAGTCGTCTGCTGAGAGCTGACAAGGAGGGTCCAGGCATGGGAAAAATGGGCTGGGGTCCCCAGCTAGGAGAATGCCACTTTGTCTATAGGCTGCCTAGTTCCAAGGTCTGGGAGTGGGTTCCAAGGAAACACAAGATGTGAAATGGAACAGGCAGAAATGCAGACAGCCTGCCACTGCTAGCAAAGGGACTATTCTTCCAGGACTGTCCCCAGGGGCCAGTGGTGGTGCCTGAGCTAGAGAGCCAGGGTTGGTCAGGGAAGCCCGTGGAGGCCCAAGAAGTGGAGGGTGGGGCTCTGCTACTGGAAGGGGCTGCGGGCCTCAGTAGGGAATTGGGTGGGCTGCTAGCATGGAAGAGGCTTCCTGATGCCAGGGCCTCTGCCCCTTCACACCCAGCCCATGGTTTGGAGGGAGATGGACTGACTTGTGCTGTGCGGGCCACATTCTAGTCAGCTTGTTCATTATCTTGCTAAATTTAAAAAAAAAAACCTGTTTTAGTGAGTCATTAAGAGATGAAGATGTCAGCCAGGCGGTGGTGGCGCACGCCTTTAATGCCAGCACTCAGGAGGCAGAGGCAGGCAGATCTCTAAGTTCAAGACCAGCCTGGTCCAGGACATCCAGGCCTACACAGAGAAACTCTGTCTTGAAAAACAAAACAAACAAACAAAAAAGGAGAGATGAAGATGTTGAGATTCGGAGTGATGAAATGTGTTTCCAAGCCGCAGAGCTGGGGTGCCAAGGCAGGCTCCTCTGAGAAGCTTCCAGGTACACAGATGGCTGCAAGCCTGGCTAGATCATCTTGGGGGGCATGGTAAGAAGACGCGCGTGCGTGCGTGCGTGCGTGCGTGCGTGTGTGTGTGTGTGTGTGTGTGTGTGTGTGTGCATGTGGAGGAGAAAAGTCAACCCTAGATGTTGTTCCCCAGGAGCCAGCCACACTTTTTGGGACAGTGTTAGGTTAGGCCAAGTCCCGGGGATGTCTCCCAGAGCTGGAGTTACGAGCATGTACCTTCACATTTGGCTTTTTGTGTGGGTTCTAGGGACTGAACTCGGGTTGTCAATGAGCCATCTCCCTAGTCCCTCTAGCCTGTCCTTTGCCAGAGGCCGTCCCGTCTCAGGGCCTGGTTGAAATGTCTGCTGTGATGGGAACAGAGGTGGGGACTCAGGAAAAGGGCAGTCAATGTCAGGCCTTCCCGGAAGCCCACTGGTCAGGTTCATCTAGCTGTGGGTACTTAGCTTCCTGTGGCCATTTTAGGGAGGAGGCTAGGCTTGTCAGCAGCAGAGACCAGAGACCCAGGGGAGGCCCAGGGGAGACCCAGGGAGACCCAGGGGAGACCCAGGGGAGACCCAGGGGAGACCCAGGGGAGACCCGGGGAGACCCAGGCGCACTTACAAATACGAAGAAGTTGAAAACGAACATCAGATACTTCATGCAGCTCAGACAGTCGCCCTCCATGGTGTTCCGTCTAGAAAACACAAGGTCACTCAATTCCTCACCTGGAGACACCCAGACAGACTCCTCCAGCTGGAGCCCAGCCCGGCCCCTCCCAGGAGCCCCGGTCCCAACTCCTCTCTCAAGGGCGAAGATTGGCTCCTTGTTGGGTCAGCACTGGGTAAGGACAGCCAGAACTTTAATCTGGCACTTTAATTCTTATTCTCTAGTTCCCTGGCTCTGGTCTGCCACCGTCCTCTGAAGTGCATGCCACACACCACACCACACACAGACACACATTCACACTCCATATGTTTTACACTATATATGTACATATATAACACATACACACACACTATTACACTTCATATATTACGTACACATACACACACAATTACACTCCATATATCACATACACACTACACACACACTATTACATTCCATATATTATGTACACACACTACACACACACACACATACTATTACACTCCATATAATACATATACACACTACACACACACATACACACACTATTACACTCCATATATCATGTACACACTACACACACACTATTATACTCCACATATTATGTACACACACTACACACACACACTATTATACTCCACATATTATGTACATACACACATACATGCACACTATTACACTCCACATATTATGGATACACACTACACACATACACTATTACACTCCACATATTATGTACACACACACATACATGCACACTATTACACTCCATATATTATGTACACACACTACACAAAACACACACACACACACACACACACACACACACACACACACACACACACACAAATAGGTGCCAAGAAAGAGACTGTCCATGGAGTGTAAGGTCCGTTGTGGTGGTCCTCACTCCACTGAGTTCCAGAATGTGGGGAACAGCTGTAATGAAGGCTGTGAGGACAGACCACCCCTACCCCCCTCAAGGCTGCCCAAATCACACAGTATCTGTGGGTTTTTGCTTTAGAATCTAGACCCCAAATGGCCCCGAAATGCCAGGCTCCCTGGAGACTTGCAGAGGTGGAGGATTAAAAAGCTGGACCCTTGCAGGGTCCCCCTCCATACCTAGCTGAAGACTCCATCCTGTCAGCTCCTCCCTCTTGTCCAGACATTCCCTGAACCCCAGGGACCTTGCTGCAGCATGGAGGGAGAAAGGGGCAGTTTACAGGACAGGGGTTTTCACTGGGAGGCATGGCTGCAGTCAGCAGTTCTCTAACTGAGTTCCCTGAGGCCAGGCAAACCCTGGTTATCTTCAGTATTCTCCACCCCTACCCGGGCCCGGGACTCAGCCCTTCATCTCCAGCAGGCTTAGAGCACAGTGTCTTAGATTAGAAGTAGACAAGCTCCCTGGGGAGGAAACCCTGTTTTCAGATTGCTCGGGAGAATGATGGATGTTTGATAAAGGAAGGCCATTACGTAGATAAAGTCCTTCAATCCTGGCCTAGAAGCATGGCATGTCCTTCCTCAAGACAACCCCAGGAGACAGGAGTAACAGCCTGGACCTGTTGCCCAGAGAGCCCTCATCCAAGCCTCTGAGGGTCCTAGGCTTACAGTTGCATGCCATGCAACTTACTGCTTCAAGTAGAATAGAAACTTAAGGCTTTGAGGGGTGCTTAGATCTGACACAACCAAGTGCTGACTTAGGATTGGCCTGGGTACCTTACGTCACCAGCACATCACTGAAAGTCATCATTCTTCCCGAAGAGTTGAGAAGTATTAATGTGACCAATGACATGTAGCCAGCCAGTGATGAACCTTGCCTGGGGCAGCCCAGCACCCTGTGGGCACCACCTTCTGTGGGTGCTGTGTGGTTATTCAAAAGTACACATGGGCCTCGGGGAGACATGCTTCCCCAAGAGCCATGGCCAGTGTGTTCACTGAGACACTTCCAGTGTCCAGGACAGACCGGCACAGTGGCATCAGTTAACACAACTTCATCAGTGAGTGAATGAACGCGTGGTGGAAAAGAGAAATAGAAGACAGAATGGCAGAGTCAACAACTAGAAACTGAAGGGGACAGATGACAGAGAGTGATCAAGGAGAGGTACGGGAAAGGATTCACAGACTGGACAGAGTCAGAGTTGGGGTCAATGTCGGGGGGCGGAAGTGTCACCTGGGTAGCTTTCCGGGAGTCAGCAGGACGAAGTCTCCTAGTCAGAGGGACTGAGGTGTGTCTCTCACCAGCCCAGCTTGTCCTAGAAGAGAAAGTTGACCGTTACAGGATATTGGGCACTGAGGCGCAATGAACGCAGGGCTCCGGATGTGCACACCGGCGACGGCTTGCTAACTGGCCATGGCACTAATGAGAAGCTGTCAAGATGTGAGGCCATGCTGGCTGGGGAGGGCTGCTGCTCTGGCTATCTCCTTCCTACACAGCTGTCCCCAGTACCCTGCTGGCTGCACACGAGCCATGTCTTCATGTGGTTTCTGCCATGGTCTTCATCAATGCTGCCCTGAGGTGGCAGGCTTGGGTGGCCACCCATCTGATGCCACCTGGGCATCTATCACACCTGTGCAGCAGGGCCATGCCACCAAGTCCTTCCCAGCAACCACAGGCTTCCATCAGGGAGAAGTCTGATGCAGGGAGCCTTTCTTGGTTCTGCATGAAGGTTTGCTGGAAGGTTCCCCTAGACAGCCCATTCCCAGCAGTGCAAAGGAAGCTGGGCTTACTCTGTGGAGGCTTGTGTTGATCACACGTGGGGGGAGTTCTACAGCCCAGACCAACTTACAGGCGGTGTTAGAGAACAGACCCAGGAGAAGGTCTGTACTCTACCAGTGGAGCTGGGGGTTGAGAGTTCTTCCCAGGAGAGATGGGAGGATTTTAAGGTCTTCAAACACCTGCTCAGATGCTCTTCCTCAAGTGAAAGCCCACTTGGGGCCAGTGAAGTATATTCTGGGTGACAGATTCTCCTTTTTCCTACCATCCCTTCTTTTACTCATCCACCAGTCAACTGATTCATCTGTCTACCCATCCACCCATCCATTCATCCATCCATCAGTCCTTCTGTCCATCCACCATCCACCTACCTATCCACCCATCTATCTACCCACTTACCTCCCCATCCACCTATCCATCCACCCACTCATCCATCCACAATCCATCTATCCATCCATCCACCCACCCATCCATGCACAGTCCACCTATCCATCCATCTACCCATCCATCCACAATCCACCTATCCATTCATCCACCCATCTACCTACCCTCCCATCATCCAACTATCCACCCACCCATCCATTCACACTTCCACAGGGATAGTTCACTGGACAAGATGAAGCCACCTGACTTGTCACAGCTCTGGGGTCATTCAAGAGGTGTGGCTCTGCAGCTAATCCATACTTGGCCATGGGACTTAGAGGAGCAGGGCTGGGTCATAGTTTCCCAAGTGCTCCTCTTCCCCTGCCCGATCCCAGCCCTGGTCCAGCACCATCACACTTGTCTATCATCCCAGGCCATGGTCCTAATTGTGCCGTGCATCATTTTCCTCCAAATACAACTGCTGGGGGCAGGGAATGTGGGTTGCACAGGAGCCAACCCAGTGTCTAGGAGGAGTGGGTGGCCAGCACTTACCTCCTCGCCAAGGAGCACCCACCACATATATGCTGTCTGCTGGCACACAGGGTTCCCCATCTTTGAGGCTGAACCCCACCTGTTGCCCCATTCCTCCTCTCTGTTCTCCTGGGGGAGCCTGTCCCACAGTCTGGCTCCTGTCTGCCTAGAAAATATGGCTCCAATCATTTCATCACTGCTTCTTAGAGCCTGGGACAGCCCCTGCCTTACCAAGTCCTTTGGGACCTTGGGACAGTCACTCTGAGAACTGCAATGTCAGTTTTGAAAACAAACTGGGGAGAAAGAATCAATAGTGCCAGACGAGAGAGAAGACGTGGGAGGCTGAGGCTCTGTGGCTCTCAGTGTTATCACACATCAGGAGTAAACGGATGTCTGGCCCAGACCACTGGTTATGTGTGGAGCCGGGTGTGGGGAGGACCGTGGATGCAGCGCATGGTCGGCATGGGTACAAATGGCTTTGCCCTAAGTGGCCCCACATTCAAATGAATTATTCCACACTGTGCCAATTAATAGTAACTGTAAGATAGAGCCTGTGTTTATCAAGTGCCTGGCTCTGCGCGGCCCTTTCCTGTGTTCTCTTATTCAATATTTACCTAGGAGATGGGTCCCAGTATCCCCTCTTACAAGTAAGGAAACTGAGTTAGAGATGACAACTAAGTTGCCTGAGTTCACCGATCTGCTTAGTAAGATCTTTATGATCCAGACATGGGTCATTTAACTGAAAACCAGAGCTCCTGGCAGAATAGTGTCCATGGGACATGAAGGCAGAGAAAGCCCTGAGAGAGGAAGAGCCGTGCCTTGGTCCCCAACATCCCTGACCTGAGCTGAGTAGCCAAGCACAGAGCCTGGGAAAGATGCTCTTTTCCTCCCCTGAACCAGCTGGAGGCTGTAGGGGCAGTACCCAGCTCTGCCATCCCCTGACAGATGGGAGCCCCTAGGCCCAGAGAGGGCAGGGATGGGGCTGAGGTTATGCAGTACCCTGGGGCTTTCCTCAGCAGGCTCCTGCCTGGGCCAGACAGCTTTATTAATCTTGCCCCTCTCATGGCCCCAGATGGCAGCTTGGCCCATCTGCAGGGATATGGGGCTGGGAGGGGTGCTCTGAGTAAGAATAGCTGGGTTCATAAATCACTCCTTTTGCCTTTACTGCCTCCAGAGCGGGATGCCGAGACCCCATCTGAGGAAGCACACCCAGGCCCAGTTTATCCTGTATACATCTGTGCCAGCAGAGGGTGCTGTGGTCCAGGGCAGAGCCATTGCTGGGTCCCAGTGCAACCAGTCAGTGTTCGGAGTCTACTGAACAAGCGTGTGTGTGTGTGTGTGTGTGTGTGTGTGTGTGTGTGTGTGTGTGTGTGTGTGTGTGTGTGTGTGTGTGTGTTCCTGTCTCCTCTCCTCTGGAGGAGCCTGCACCCCTCACCTGGAACATGAAGACACTCAGCTCCAACTCCCTATGCCCTGCCCATGGTCACTGCCAGGACGGAAGAGCCTGATTAGCTGCAAAGATCTGAACACCCAGCACATTCATTTCTTCTCCTCCCTTCTCCCAGTACCAACCGGAACCAGCCGTGGGCTTGGTCCAGTGGAGGCCAGTATTCTCCCTCACGGCCACCACCACCACTCAAGTCTAGTGAAGATCAATAACCAATCCTCAGAGAAAGGTGTTAACAGCGACATCTTCTGAGTGTCCTGGACATACATGCCAGGACGGACACAGAATAATGTTCTCCAGCCCAGTGTGTCTTGAGGGGGCCTGGAGGTTTTCAGGGGGCGGAGAGAGACAGTGAAAGGACTGACTTTTTTTTTTTTTTTTTTTAATGGAAGCTGATAATGATGCCAGGGCCTGTAAGCTCACTTGATCCTCAGCAGAAACCTCAGCCAAGTGCACGATCTTGTCACTAACTGGATGAAGCCACGAAGCCGGCAAGTGGCTAGAAGGTCCCAGAACTGGAAAAACCATACACAGCTGAGTGGGGCCCTGAAACCCACACTAACATGTAAAGCACTTGTGGGAACAGCACCAGTCTTGGCCACCAAGTTCTGGCTAGGGGGTGGAGAGGGCTCATTTGCTCACTGACTGTGCCTCTGGGCCTCTTCCCAAGACAGACGGGCTGGGCTCATAAACAAGCAATTGGCCCGAAATCCCGGGGAGTCTGCCCATGGCACAGGGCAGACACAGGGAAGGGGGGTGGTGGTGAAAGCCTAATTAGGCTCCAGAGGGGTGGTGCCTGAGGGGAGGGCTGCTGTAGTGAAACTGAATTCAAAGGACAGCCTTTCCTGCTGGGTGCTCAGTGAGCCGTGAATGTCTGGGGGCCAAGGGACAAGGCAGCATCTGGGAGGCCCCATCAAACTTGTGAGTTCAGCCAGGTTTGGGGCTCTGCCATTGCCCCTGCAATTCAGACCTTTCCTGGGGTCCCACCCACCAGGGAATTCTCAAAGACAGCAACTTGGTGGGGACTGTCTCCCAGTTCTCATTTCACAAGGCATACGCATGCCCAGAACCCCAAGCCCCGACAGCCTGCTGCCCAGCCCTTTACCCTGCATCCTCCTCAGAACTGTACTTTGCCTTGGGCTGACACTCCAAAGCACTTGGCACACTGTCCTCGCTGGGTCCTCCACGCTGGGAGGTGGCATTCCTGTGTTTCAGATGAGGACATGGCTCATCAGTCCAAACACACTAGAGGCCGGGGGAACTACTGAGACAAAGTTCTCTTTCCCAGGCTAAGTCCTCCAGGGAGGTGACTCCAGGGACAGCCAGCCTGCTGAACTCGCTGTAGTCCTAAGGGCTGGGCTTTACATCAGCTGCAGAAGTCCAGGTCCCAGGCCTTGCTCAGCAGGTCCTCTCTGTCTCACAGTGGCTGCGCCTCACCCTCATCTGCTCTCCCTTCCTACCTCCCATCCCTCAGAGCCTGGTTGGAACGAAACCCTTTGAAAGGCTTAGTGATCCATCCCAAAATACTCAGTGCTGTTGCTGGGGCAACCTGGCCCATCACACATCCAAGACTGAAATGTTGAATGGGTTCACGGGTATTAAGAGGGCCTGGGAACTGGGAGGGCAGGGGCACAGGTCTGAGTGGGAGGGAGGGGGTAGGGGACCCCAGGAATTCCTAATGGAGCTGCCCCCAGCCCCCGCAGGAAAAGGCAAGAAGGCTCCTGGTCATTGATTGCTGTGACTAAGTGTCTGACAGGCTCAAACAGGTGACATGGAGAAGTCAAGCAGAGGGAGAGACAAGAAACTTGCTGGCTGAGAGAATGTGGTGGACTGGGCTGGAGGGTGTTTTGAAGGAACTCCCCACTTGCAGATGGAAAAGGGAAACTGCATTTCCCTGTGGATGCTGGCGTTGTCTCATCTGATCTCACCATAACCCCACAGAGTAGGTTTGCTGTCATCCCTGGCTGACAGCTGAGGAGCTGACCAGAGAAGTGAAGTAACCTGCCCAAAACTAAGCGGCAGGCTGCAAGCCAGGGCTGCATGGCTCCTAAGCCAGTGCTCTTCCTACCCAGTCTGCCTGTCAGGAACCATGTCAGGAAACACAGTGCCAGCCAGTCACTCACAGCAGCTAACAGGAGGCATGTGCACAGACCTCAGGTCCCAGCCCACTAACCAACCAAGGGTAGCCATTGCAGCTC